GATTGAAATCTTTAATTTTTAGATTCCAGCAATCCTTCTTCAAATGACTTTTCTTCCCACGGTGGTAGTATTTTATGTTCTTCTTACTTCTTGACCTTCCTTGATTTTGGTTCCCACTTGAGCCACGTTCCATTGAGCTGCCTCTTGTCACTGCCAGAGCCGCTATTTGTTGTGGGCTCGCCAACTTATCTTCTTTGTTTTTGTGCCAATTTTCCTTTTCCATGACAGCAACTCTAATAACATCGAAGTTTAGATAGTCGGTGAGAACATTATTTGTTAGGTTGATGACAAGTTGATCATACGAATTAGGAAGACTTTGAAGTAGAAGTTCAGCACGTTCGCATTTGGCTCTATGTTACAACCCGATGATGTGAGTTGAGAAAAATATAGAGTATTCAACGCGTTAATGTGCTCTGTCATTCGAGTAGATTGACATCCGAAGAGTATACAATCTCCTCTTTAGGAAAATTAAATCTTGTTGTGAAGTGCTTTGTAGTTTTCTTCTCCTTGTACAATTTTGTGAGATAATCTCAAATCTCCTTCGCTGTTTTCGTCTCCTCTATGCTTTACAATACTTTATCTATCAGTGTCAAATGAAGATTTGCAATAGCATTCTCGTCCATCTCATTCCACTTGTCATTTGTGACTTCCACTTAGGGGTGTTCAAAAAACCCGACAACCCGATGAACCCGACGAACCCAACCCAACCCATATAAATTTTCGGTTAACCCAACCCAACCTGATGTAAAAATAAAGTATTATCCTTTATTTAAACCTGACAACCCAATGTAATCCCTCGTGCCTTTCAATAAAGATGAAAAATATCTAACTTATTTTATGATATGGAGGATGCACTTTTAGAGTGGCAACCACAGAGCAAATGATAAGTAAATATTAACACCAAAAAACATGCTCTAATACCACGTGTTGGATAGGATTGGGACTGGATAGAGTTGAATCGTAGCTAAAATAGCTATTTTACATGGATTGAGAATAAGTAATGAGGAAGAAGAATAAGATACAATGATTTTAACATGGAAAATCCCTAAATGAATTAGAGTAAAAACCATGGGTAAGATAGAAGAATTTCACTCAATAAAAATTTAGGAGTTACAAACTTTCTCTCAAATAGAGAACAAAATCTCTCATATAAGAAGAAACTCTCCGAGCTTCACACTTTATCTCACTTAGAGTTGGGGATTTTGGGATGGATTGCAAACCGTAGGTTCCCACCTATTTATGGTCCAAAGATACTTGCCCTTCAAGTAAATTTCTATGGCCACAAATTTGCGGTTTTGGACAAAGTGTAAGATCTAGTGGTCACCACATATTGACCTTGAACAAAGTGTAAGATTCTAATGGCCATAAATTTGCCATATCTAGCGGTACAATTTAGCCACATCTTGAACTTGGATAAATTATTTGATCTAGTAGTTACAAATTCTCCAAAAATACTGGTTGAGAAAATTGGCAAAATAAATATTATTTAACAACTAATAGTATATTATTGATGAATTAAGAATCTCTCTTACCAAATCATAGCATTATCTCATATATACAATAAAGATGAAAATTCTCAAAGGGAGAAATTGAAAATAAAGTTGAGACGTGGATAACTTTGAGATGAGGTTGAGATATATTACTGTATTTGAATGACGATACCCGATTTGATCGCGATTGAATAAGGAAGAAAGGAAACGGACCATTAAAAACTTGATGAGGGAGTGGTTAATATAACAATGGCTATAAATAATGACACAAAGATTAAACAAAACCATTAAATTTGCCAAACTTCCTTCCAAGAAGGGAAAAGAAAAAAAGGCAAAGATAACACCACAATATGTGAATTGGTAACCACTAGAAAGCAATTATATATTCCAAGAAGAAAAATTGGAAGGGTAACTTGGTAATTGTGTGTGTAAAGTTAGGTATGACTAGAAAGAAAAGAGAAAGCTACATAAAGCAGCAAAAATTAAAATATAAATATAAATAAAGAGAAAAAAGAAAAAAAACAAAAAAAAGGGCAAAAGTTTAGTTGTGAAAATTAAGAACTCAAAGTAAGTGGGAAGGGGTTTCACCCTCTCTTTTATTTCCTTTCGACTCGGTCGGTGTCTGTCCCTTTCAACTTCACCCTTTTTTGGCCCTCTCTCTCGTACTTCTATACATTTTTAGGGTTTTAATGTAATTAACCACCTACATTTTTTTGGTTAAAAAATATTTCAATGATTTATTTTTTTAATTGTAGTTTGTAACCATCCATTTAAACCCTATTATTTAAAATTTGTAAAGATTTAGTCTCTATCGTGAAACTGATCATAGGTGATCAAATGTGTCCATAAATTACAAAAGCTAAACTGTCCTAGGATAAAAATTGACGCCTAATTTTAATAAGAATTTTCAAGTATGGATAATTAATAGTTGCAAGCTTTAAAATGTAGGGACTAAATTGTTATTAATTTAAAATTACAAGGACTAAATCATGTTACAAACTAAAGTTCAAACAACTATGTCGTTACTTTAACAAAAGTACGAGGATCAAATGTATTTTTTGACATGCAGGATAGATTCGAGAATTATTTTCTAACAAAGTGGGATAGTTTAATAGGGCAAGTGTAACGAGATCGATGATATGTGAACTTCAAGTCCTTTGATCTTGCAAAGAATTCGAATGGTTTGATTATCATAATATAGTGGAATTTCTCTTATTATTACCACTCGCTAGGGTTATAGAAAAATATTTTGTAATGTTTTCTTATGTAAAAATAAAAAAATTAATAAATATATTAAAGAAAACCTTTTAGCATATTATTTTGTACTCGTGCTCTCGAAATTAAACTAGAGAAATTTATGCCATTTGCAAAGTGGCCTACTCAAGAAAATCCACTACCTACATTATTACATGCGCCTCACCGAGGTTTTGTAACTTTAAAGATGCAGAATCGATATCTCATCTACTGATTCTACATATATATTAAAGTTATATTCAGAATCTTTTACCAGTCAAAACACCTTATCATTTGTCGAACCATGTCAAAAAAAAAAAAAAAAAAACTACTCGAAAATTCAAAATACATTTTCAATTTTTCAAACTAAGAAGAAAAAAAAAAAAAGAATCCCTTCATTTTAATTTTTCATTGGACAAGCTCTTGCTTTCCTTCTTTTACAAAAATGAAAAGGCTTTTGCTGGGGTTTGAATGCCCCTTTAGCCGGACGCATGCCTAGTGTGCTTTGTCTAAGTTATATAAACGTACCCACTTTACTATATAAAGTGTACATTATATTTTATATGATTTTTTTGAATATACTTTAATTTAATACATTGTTTTGTGAATATTATTATTTATTCTACCATAGTATGGCAGAATATTCTTATTCGCTCTCAGTTTAATATGTTTTTATTCTCTTCTTACCAACAGTTCATGCATCTTTTCTATATTTTAAAGTAGGTTTTTTCAATATCGTAATTTCCAAATAATTATAATGTATAGTTTAATAATTATAATGATCTAAGATATATATTTTAAATATCATAAAATATTAACTTATTTTAAATCTATAGCTTTTTTTTTCGATTATGGCTGCTGAACTATACTTATGTTGGTTCAAATTTATAAAATTAATAATGGTTTTAGATATATGAATCTGTATCACTTTATTATTAATGACAATTATCAATATCGATAGGAGATATAAAGTTATGGCGACTATTTCAAACTCCTTTTTGTTCTCGTTTCTATTATTATTATTATTTATTAATTTTATCGAGAATAATGTTGATACATGTCTAATATTCGCAAGTTACACATTTAAGATTGTAGTGGGTACCATCACTTTATTTATTCCTTTTTCTTTTTGTTTTTCCTTGTGATGTGGCTGTGAATTTGAATTTGATTTCTCATTCTAACCATTAACAAATAATATTAATAACAACTTTATTAATTTCCAATTATTATCCAAAATAACCTAGCTAAATTATTGTATCCCTAAATTCTGAGCATTATTGTATTGATTTACTTTAAAAGGTTTTCCAATAACTTCTATTCCATCTATATCATTAACATATTATTATCAGATAAATGGTAGTTTCTTTTAACTTGCAACAAATTCAAATGAGGAGATGAAGATTTAAACTTATGACTAGTAAAGAAATTAAAGTATCAATATTTTAACCAATTAAATTCAATTAATGTCGGTATGAGATAAATGTTTGTTGATGGATCATTATAACTTTACAACCGAACATGATTATTTTAGTCGAAATCTAATCACTTGGAAGATTCCTAGTAGAAAAAATCAAATGATTAGAATCTGCAAAACAGAGGTAAACACTCCGTAGCTTAAATTAGTCTCAAGTCAAACTATTCAGTATATTGTTTGCAATAAGCCTCACGTGTACCTGAGGATAGAACTATCTTTAGTATTTATAAGTGAATATAGCAGTTACAATTGTTGTCCGCCTATATAGCACGTTAATATAAATTCTAGTGTTGAATTCACAGGCATGGGCGGTTGAGCAGTCATCAACCAATATATAAAAGTTTGACCTCGTCTTTGGTTCAACCTAACTATTTTCTTACCCGTGGCACATTAGTTATCATCTTCCAACCTTTAAGATTAAAAGTTCAAATTTTGATGGGTTGGAAGAGGGAGCAGTTGGGTTAAATTGGGTAATTATTTGAAGAGAAGGACAATCATTCTCTGCAAGTTGGCCAATGGGGTGGGAGGGGAGATTATTGAATCCAAGAAGTCAATCAGATTTTCATGTGGGCCCCACAGCAACACAGCATATTCTTTGCCCCACGTGTCAGTTTCGTGATTCCCTCCAGATTCCCCCACTTCGTCCCAATCCAACGGCTTTGCTTCGCCCCTAAGTTCCCCGCCGGCGCAGGGCAAATTCGTAATAAACCCCACACACGAGGGCATTATCGTCCCCCGCCACGTCAGAAGTTTTAACCTCATGTGCCGTCCACTTTCGCTCACAGTCCCCACGCCACCTCTCTGAAAACAACGTACTTCGGTTCCTTCCTTCTTCTTCCTCCTCATCACTCACTGCAACCAAAAAAAAAGCCCTATAAATCACGCCGATTCTCCCTCTCTCTCCCCCCTTTTCTCTCTTCTCTTCTCTCTCCCCCCGAATGAAGAAAACACTTTCCTTCTACGTCACCGTCCGGCGACTAATTCCGATCATCCTCCGACGACGACGATGTTCCCCTCCTCTGGCGACGGAATGAAGCGCAGCGCATCCGAGTTGGCTCTCGAGGAGTATCTGAAGAAGGCCGTCGCCTCTCCCGAAGTTACCGACGCCGACGACGACCTCCAGAACGACGACGTTTTCAAGATCGAACGCGAAGTGAGAAGCCCTACGACGGCCGATGCGTGCTTTTTCCGCGATATCGATTTCAGTTTCTTCTTGAAAAATCGGGTCCGTTCTTTTCCGAAACTCTTCTCTATAAATCGCCTGCAAAAAATAAAAATAAAAATAAAAAAGAATAATATGATTTTTGTTTCACTTCATAATTAAGCTCCGGCGGCCTCGCGATGATGAGTCGCCGTCCAGCATGTAATTTCTGCCACTGTTATATAACGTGAATGATTATAAAATCACTGATTTAATTTATTTAGTTTCAAGATTTTATAGTTTCACGTATGGTTTTTGTAATTTTTTTAAATGCATGAATATAGCATATTTTACAAGGTAAAGATATATGTTTTAGTATATATATATATATATATATATATATATATATACACATACACATACATACTTTTTAGATAAAAAAATATCGAGAACCCTCTCCAATAAGAAAATAGGAGTTATAGGAATGGAAGCTCGAACTCACAATTTCTGATATATATGCCAATTATTGTTGTTGAATTATGGTGATTTGGTTTTAGAATGTTTTGTATCACATAGAAAATTAAGAGTAGTTTCGTTTCTTTTCTTTTTTTATTTAAAGCTCATGCAGATTTTTGTCTGTTTGTTTGTTTTTTTTTTGGTTTAATTTATAGGAAAGAGGAATAATAAGAGAAAATGGGAAATTGCAGGAGATAGTGGACGCTCTTGTTAACTGTGGAGGTGGGCTGGCGGAGGCTCCTTTTTGGACTCAGAATCTCACTCCTAAGCATTCAACCATTTCAGCCACTATGGATTCGCAGTCATCCATTGGTATGAGCATTATCAAAGTTTTTTAATTTAGATAAATATATATAAAATTAATGATAAGAGTTATTTTGAGACGAAATTGAGATTTAAGACTACATATCTTGATGAGGACGAAAATGAAATAAGTTTAATTAAGTAAGAAACAACGAAGGTGTATTTTTTAACATAATATTTTTTAGTTTTATGACTGCATAATTTTTGGACCAAATAGCAAGTATTTAATATATATTTGTCAATATGAACTTAGTTCGACAATAATTGACATCTCCGATCGAGAGATCATGAATTCAAATTCTTCTTCCTGCGGGTTATACTAAAAAAAGTGTTTAATATATATTTGAAAACTAAAATGTATTATTAAATTATTAATATGTTATATCAAATTTTGGTTTATAAATTATCGTATATTTTCAATTCGTGACTTATCATGTCAATAGACGTTAACTTAAGCATAATTGGTCCAATTGGTGAAAACAAGATCTTCCAGTGTATTCTTTTTATATGGATAGAAAAATTAATAGTCTTTTGCAAATTAAATATATAAAGTTCTTCTTTTGCAAACAGTATAAAAAGGACTGACCATCCACTACAAAATTCCATGTACAAAAAGGGCCCATTTTAGCAATCAAAACAAAGCTATGTAGAGTTTTCTTCTATATAATATGGTATCTAATTTTTCATAATTTACAAAAAAAAAATAACAAAAACCACAAAATTATTTGTATGTTAATAAATAAAGAAACATATATAATAATTACCTTTTAAAATTATATTTGGCTAAAACCAATATAAACATTTCTAGTACTATGAGAAGATCATACTCCCTCCCATTTACTGTTTGTTACATCAACAGTATATTAAAAATGATGTGGAATCTATTTATTGCTTTTGGTTTAATATGGTATCGATAGCTATAGCTATTTTTTCAGTTTGTCGGTCTCCGAATATAAGTTCTCGTTGGCCTTCTATTTATTGTATAAATGGGAGAGGTAGTGTACTCTCGTAGTGCTAGGAGAAAGTTTTCTGAAAACAAGTGTGGTGTAGTGTGAGTAATGATAGTTTGGGTATGGGTTTGGTGTGGTCAGTGAGCAGCCCAACATCAGGCAGCAATTTGATGGGCAGAGAGCAGCAAAGAGGCAACAATAACAGTGGGTCCTCTCAGGATCAGTCTGATGATGAAATTGACGCTGCTTCTTGTGAACTCAGCACACACGACCCTCTTGCCTTGAAGCGAATCAGAAGGTGCTTAATTAATTCCTTTACTTCAACTTTTAACTTTAATTCTCACCTTCTCAATTCGCTTCTCACCTTCTTCTCCTCTTGCAGGATGATCTCCAATAGGGACTCTGCTAGAAGATCTAGGAAAAGAAAACAAGCCCATTTGGCTGAACTCGAGACCCAGGTATAGATCTAGAGTTTTACAAACGACAACATCTCTATTGATACTAGAAGCAAACGATGACAAAAAATTGCTTTTTCAACCGACCCCATATTAACGGAGTTGTGACGATATTGTTTTATTTGAACCTTAAGTCTGCTTCTCATTGGTGTCAGTTTAGAGTCTCCATACCGTTGCTGCTACATAATTGCCATTGGAATCTTGGGATCGAAACTGTTGGTTTTTTAATTAAGTGAACCAAAATTGACACCGACGGACCGACCGATATGAACCCAAAACGAGACTTTTATGAGGAGTTGTTGAAAGCGATCCTTGTTTCAATAGTGTTAAATGAAGTTTAGTGAAAACGGTCATTTATTCTCAGGTGAAACAGCTGAAAGGAGAAAATGAAACCTTGTTCAACCAGCTTTTAGATGCCAGTCAGCAATACCGTGATGCCAATACAAACAACAGAGTCCTTAAATCAGATGTAGACGCTTTAAGAGCCAAGGTACAGGCTTCTTCTTATTCTCTCTCTCTCTACAGAAAATGAAACAAAGAAAGATCATATTATATGATGTGAGTTTTTGTTTGTTTTCAGGTAAAGTTGGCTGAAGATACATTAGCCAGAGGCTCAATGACATGCAGCCTAAATCAGCTGCTGCAGAGTCATTTGAGCACGCCGCAGCCACAGACGGCACTCCGACGGGTGTCAAATATCGCATCGTTGCCGCCCGGTCTTCCCGGAGACGAAGTTTCTTACTCCAGTATGACAATGTCCGGGCAGAATCCGACTGCCACCGGACTTGGAAACTCAGATATGCATATGAAAACTGGAATGGCCAGCGAAGCAGTCAGCTGTGTTTCTGGGGTTTGGCATAGAAATTAGCACTGTTAATGATCATTATGTGTTTGTTTTAGCTTTGTATGATAGAACTTCACTTTCACTCCCTCCATTTCCCCACCTTCTGTTTGCTGTGTTAATTCTAGACAGGTATTTGCCCATTTGCTTGTTTTGGGTCAGCATGAATTGCCATTTTACTCTCTTTTTCTTCTTTTGTCGCTTTGCCTCTTTGCGATTAACATTACAAGGATTCGAACACAACACTGGTGCATGTTATTAAAAGTTTTGCTTGGACAGAGATTATGCCAAAGTTACTAGTTTTTTTTCCTAGAATCTTGGCATGAAATGAAGAAAAGAAAAGAAATTTATCCTTAAATCATTGACATTTGACACCCATCATTAATTGAAACTCACCAAAATCAACTTTCCCATCCAAATTGACATCCACAACTCTAACCATCTTCTCGATCTCCCTAATTCCCCACCCTTTATCCAGCCCCAAACATTGCAGCACCCTCTTCAACTCCACAGTATCTATGAACCCATCTCCATCCACATCGAATATCTTGAACGCTTCCCTCAGCAGCTCGCTCTGCTTCCCCGCCGCCGCCTCCTCCGCCATCTCCCCGATCACCTCCTCCACCGCCACCTCATCACCGCCCTCCCCCGGCGGCAGATCGAACCTCGCCTTCTCCTCCTCGCCCTGTATCAGCCCCAGCTTCTCCACCACCCCCTTCGCTTTCTCCTTCTTGATCCTCCCGTTTTCCCGCATCCCGAACACCGTGATCAGGGCGTGCAGCAGGGCGTCGTCGTAGGCGGCGGCGCGGGGCTGGGAGATGCTCGGTGGGGCGTCGGATTGTGCGGCCGCCCGGAACCCCCCGCCAAGTGTTTGTAAAAAGTCCCCAATGAATCTGGAGATGCCCATCGCGTGGAAACTGCGCCGGAGAATTGGAATGCGATGTGGGAGTGTTGTGGGAGTGATGGATTTATGGATTGAGAGCTGGCGAAGAAATAATATAGAATGGGATTTGTGGATCGAATGCGTTGTATTGAAAATTATAAGAAGTGGAAGTTGGGTGTGTGTGTTGATGAAGGGGAGGGAATCGGGGGACAGGATGTGCTTGTCTCTCGGCGGCATGATCGCCAATGTGGAGAAGTTTGCCAATTTGAAAATCTCTACTGTGAAACTGCGAGTTAAAATGTTCCAGTTTTGTTATTTGTTATTTTTTTAATAATAGACGGTACAACTCTATTTATGTTGTCATTAAAGGTACGGATATTCATGTCATCACAAAATTAGCTCGACTAGTTAAAGCACTGAGTTCGAATTCACTCTCTCATATGTTATTGTATTATTCAAATAAATAATCTATGAACAATTACTAAATGAAATAAAATTAAAATAAATATATCTATATATAATTTTATAGCAGGTAAAACAAACGATTTCAAAATTAAAAATAAATCTGAACTAGTTCAATCTAATTCAAATTTATTTTAGGTGAACTCTTAAACCGAGTCAACTCAACTTATATAATTTCTATCGTACAAGGTATTTAAATTCAACCCAATCTAAGAAAATTTATAATCCAACCCATATTTTATTAGGGTGAATTGATCGGATTTTTTGGGTGATTAGTAAGAAGACGAAGGTCTAGTTTTCCGACATGCATACACCTTCCAAGAAGCAAGCGTGTGTGTTATGTGTATGTACCGAGCCTCTATCTATAATCTAATTAATTATTTAAATTAAGTAAATATCTGTAACGTATCTGTCGATTTATTTATTAATGGAGCATTATTGGGTATATTTTTAATTTAAATTAATTCAGAGTGCATATTGTTATTATTTTATTTTTGCATGTGTATCACTCTGCAGAAACCGCGTTCCCAAGCTGTATATTAATTATTGTTGTTACATTATTTATTCTAATCATCTTATTATAATTATAAGCTCAAATACTCTTCCCCATGCAATTGTTCTATTTCAATTTGAGGCCATCACGTGATCTTTTTTTCCCCTTTTTTTCCCTTTTATATTCAAGAATAATTTGTAATGCCCGTTGCAATAGATCATGTACAATTCTGATAATCAAAGCCGGGAAGAAGAAAGAGGGAGCGGGTCAATTTGCCTCCTATTTCTCTTATGTCCCATTTATTCAAAGAAAATCATTTCAAAATCGAAATGAGAATGTTATTTTTTTATATCGTTTATTATAAATTTTCAAGAATTGAAGTAAAAGATTTATTAACGTTGTTTACTGAAATTAAAAATCGAAATAAGGATCAAATATATAACAATTACCATAATCCATATTTTTGTAAAGAATTCAATAGGTCGGCTTGACAAATGCTTACCGATCCAAAAAGATTTTATGTAATATTAATAAGAATCATTCATGTGAATTCATTTCTCATTGATACGTGGCAGACGATAAATAACCTCCAACCTACATTATTTAAAAAAATACTTTATGTACATATCTTTTAAAATAAATGCCAATTGTTTTATTTCCTAAAAAAACAATGTCGATATTTAAGCTAGTTTAAGTGCTTTATACTTTAAAAAAAATAGTTTAAGTAATTGGTATATCATTTTTTATATGGTAGATTTGAATTCTTTATTCTTTTTATCTATAAAGCTGTGTCTTAAAAAAACACTTGAAAATCTCGAAAGAAAAGCATTAACAGTAAATAAATAAAATAAAATAAAGGAAATAAAGATCTCTTCAGTGGCAAATCAAATTAGAACAAAAAAATAGATATATTTCCATTATTACCCTTTAACGCGGACAGCTTCCTTCAATTCAATTCAATAATAGGCTCCAACCTCCCCCACCTATAAAGGCAAATAAAAAGGTAGGATATAAATTTTTCTTATGGAAGATATTATTATATTTGACAATATCTTTTTTTCTTCTAATTAAGAAGACAAAAAAATATATAAACTGTTTGTTTACTGTGAGTTAAAATTTGCATGGATACGCGTTTAGATTCCAATATTTGTTTTATATGAATTCAAAATATTCCTGTATCCAAAGATGTTATATCTAAATATTTTGGATACACTTTCCAAACATGAGAAATCAAGATTCTCATGTGAGGCACCTATCGTTACATTTTTACCATTCATTTTTTTACTTATGTATATATAATTTTTATTTTATCAATTTTTATTTTTATTTTTTTAATTAAAATAAATTAATATACTCGAACGTTAATAAAGAACTCTATGTAATTAATTATATTTATATGTTAATTTACCTATAGAATAAATTTTAATTTATATTATATAATATATCTACCGATTTTAAAATTGATATTAATTATACATGTAAAAACAATTCTATAAATATCAATATTATTTTCCCTCAAATTTTTTTCTGATTCGATGTAAAAATATAATCCAACAAAAATGTGGTTAAAAAAGTAAAATTAATATAAATTAATATGTTATGCAAAATAATATTTAAATTTAATATAAATTAATCTATTTAAATTAATAAGGACGTTTTTAGAAGAAATATATTATTCTAAAATATTTTCCATTACAAATCAAAACTACTCAAATATTTTCTTGTATATTATTATAAATTTTCATATAAATAAAATAATTATTTAAAGATGTCGAACATCTATATTTCATGACATCTAAAATTTCGAGCATCTAAGATCTCATCCCTTAAATCATATTTCTTAACTAAAACATAAAATTTATTTTCGATTAAAATCTGTAGACGATAGGTCAAATCATTATTTTTTTGAGTTGATTTTAATTTTATTCCAAAACTTTTAATTGAATCTAAATAGTTTTATTCAATTTCCTAAAGGCTAAAATACTTTTATATATTTTGAAAATTATAATAAGCCATAGGATATTACGAAGCCAAGGGAATAACATGTCATCGTGGTAAGCGAGTGCCACGTACGCAGATCTGTACGGATTTGTACACGTGTCGTCACCGTTGGCAACCTCCGAGTCTCGGCCGTTTATGTTTTTGCTCAATTGCATAAGAAAATTGAAAAACAAATATATTCTTGTTCTTCTTGTTCTTCTGCGAACCGCGAAGCGGATGCGACGCTGTCACGTTTTTCACGACAAACACAAGATCGCTGGACTAGGGGCAACATCTTCTCCTCCTCATCGGAATTCGGACGTTGATGCCGTAATCGGAATCCATGGCGGTTCCGAAGCTTGCGACCCTAACGATATGTATAGCTTTGATTATCTTCTCGGCTTCAGCGGACGTGATCGTCGACGGGGAAGGAGAGGACATAATTGAAGTTGGGAGAGAGGATGGCTCTGATTCCTCCCTGCTCAAGATCGAATTGGAAAAACTCAATTCAAAGATCCGAGAGCTTGGTTAGTTTATTGTAATCTCCTATGCATTTGAGCTTCATTGTCTGTTTGGTTGCAGAGAGAGCGTGGGAAAATGTGGCGGATGAAATATTAGTCCTAGCTTTCATATTTTTATAAGGCAAAGTTAATTCGGAACTGCTCGGAATTTGTTTCTTTCTTTATTGGCTGTTTCAATTCTATTTTCCGCCAAATTGGTTGATATGGCCTTTTGTAGCCGTATGAATTTCAAAACTAAGAAAGCGGTTTCCTGTGATCGAATGAAGCTCCGCATTTGCTTCATTTCTATGGAAGAGGATAATGTGCTTCCCAAGCGTTTTCCGCATGCTCTTATGTTGGTTAATGTGGTTGTTCACCTTTTCATGTTTTTAGGGACTCAGTTTTGCCTATTTTTGCAGAGGTCCTTATCGATGAAAAAACACTGGAATTGGAGAAAAAGGACGATCTAATATCTCAGAAGGATAAAATATTCAGGGACAAGTCAAATAAAATTTCATTTCTGCAAAGCGAGATAGAATCTCTCCAGGTTGCCTCTTGTATATATCTAGATTGAAAAATTAGTACTTTGCTTTTAGTTCAACAAATGTGGAAGGTTTCGATCAGTAGATGGCTATAGTACTAGTTCCGTAGAGCTATGCTCATGTTTAGCTGAAAAATCCGTATGGATACTTTTATTATTGCAATGATGGAGATTGATTTTCTGATGCTATTACTGCCTCATGTAACCTTTACTCCATTCCATTTTTACGTATTTGGATTTTTGTATCTAAATATAATTCGTGCTATGAGCAGAGGGAAGGGAAGTTACACGCTGAGGAAAAAATTGGAAAGGCTCAGGCGCGTGCTGGTGAATTAGAGAAGCAGGTACGATATTGAAATTTTGAACATAATGAACCATTGTAGTTACGGTGCGCACTCACTCTCTGTGTCTCTGTATTTGTCTTTTCAGGTCAGTGAACTTAAAAGGGAATTATATGCTCAAAATAGGGAGAAAAATGCTCTGGAAGAGCGATCAAGTGAAGCTGAGAAGGAAATGCATAAATCTATTACAAAACTGGAGAAAGTAAGTTAAGTGCATTTGTGGAAACACGTGGATTGGAATTGGCAGCCTCTTTGCTGATCACAGTTCACAGAAAGAAACTGTTTTAGTTTTTCTTTAGTTATGTTATCATGGTTTTTATTTTGTTTTTTGTTTACAGCTTCAGACCACTAATAAAGAACAGAAGAGCAAAATTCAGAAACTCGAACGTGCACTTAAAGTGGCCGAGGTACTCTGATTTTGCTGCTGCTGATATGCATTTTATGGAATTTGATTGTTCCTATCTTAGCTATTTTCTTGTCTATTCTTAGGAAGAAATGATAAAGGCGAAGTTTGAGGTCACTTCAAAGACTGAAGAGTTGATGGAGGTAAAGTTTATTAATTAAGTTATTCTGGTCTTTCATCACGCAGGTAAATTTCAGTACCTAGCGTCCTTCCATGGTTAACCTTAATCTTAAAATAGTTGAACTTTCTATATGCTTTCAATTCCCTGAGGCTTTTCCTCCTCCCTCAAAATAACTTCTCATTTGGGTACTTTAGATTCTAGGTGAAGTTTAAGTGGTTGTACGGTTGAACCTTTACGCATAACACCTCAAATGTTATCCATTTAAGCTCCGCCCAAAAGCCAATAAGATCTTTGAGAATTGTTTGATTGTTCCCAATTAGTTCTGGAGCTCCTTTGTACATTTTTTTATATGGTTCCTTATGATTCATATCTTACAAGGTAAGTTGACCTTGAGGCCAGAGCAAGATGGATGCTTTCTTGATATGGTTGGTGGGATTTATTTTTAATAACATTATTGTTACAGTTTTTGGCTTAGAACTGCATTTAAACAGTGATTATAGAGAGAGAGAAAAAAAACACTGGTGAGTTCTTGAATCCATTTCCAAACAAATAAGGTTTCATATTGTCTAATCGCAATTAGATGAAATACACGTATGATGAACATTGTTCTAAATTTTTGGTATTCATGATCATAGCCTGACATGACGCTTGGCTAAATTTACTCACAATGCATGATCAGGTCCATGGTGCATGGTTTCCACCATGGCTTGCTTCATTCTGGAACGAGCATGTAGAACCTGCAATGCATCTGGTGATGCAAAAGGTACCATTTCTGGTTTCTTGAGGTTATTTGTTGGTTACCCTGTGAAATTATTTACTCTTACATCCTATCATTACCATTCTTTGGCTTGGTTGCTTTCCCATTAATGATAGTGAGAATCTAAGTGTGCTGCAGCTTTGACCATACCTGCAGTGAAAGTTGATTTCTATCATCCGTGCACCAATTCTTTTTAAGTTCATCACCCTTCTTGCCCTCTTTTTCTAATTGGTTGCAGATGTGGGCGGGGAAGGCACATGTGGAGAATTGCGTGGGACCGCACATAGAACCAATTAAAGCTGTGAGCTAATTTTCTTAATTTCTGCTTTTGTATTTGCTTTACATATAAGCATTGCTTAGTAGCTTAAGATGATCTTAGAAAAGTACTTAAATTTTGTGTGATGTATCTTCTTTGAACGTGTTTGAAATGATGTAAAAATTGTATATTGTCATTTTCTATTAATTGTCTTACATATCAAACCTCAAGTTTAAATTTTGATCTGAATCTTCATATTATTGATATGAATAGAATGCGGTCAACCTTTTCTCTCTTTTTCATATGTAAAATGGATGTCAGGTAATGAAGAAATAAACTGTTTGTACATGAAGAAAAAACTATCTCAGCAACGAATTTGGAAAATGATTTATTATGTTTGGATGCTCACTCAGAGTCTACACAGGACATCAAAGAAACAATTTGCGACTTCCATTATTTGGGTTAGGGTTGAGTTTTTGGGGGAAAAAAATATCTGGGGCACATTTTCTAGTAATGTCTTAAACTATAAATTGAATAGTTTGGAAGGTTGACATACAATGAGTTCAGAGGTTTGAGTCAAATTGATTCCATCGGTAAAAACATCGTGGTTGTCATGTGAGCTGTACTAAGATTTTTGTAGGCATCAAATACCTGAATGATCTTTACTTCGTTGGTAATTGCAGAAATGGATCCCTGCCATGCATGAACGGTGGGTGGTGGTGAAAACAAATTCTAAGCCACATTTGCAGTCGCTGTGTAAAAGAAGTTCAGAAGCCTATGAGGCTTCAAAGCAAGCATTGACTTCACATATTATAAAAGCACAAGAATTTGCCTCTCCCTACTTTCAGGTGAATACCTTGCTGTTTTCTGTCTTCTTGTAGTTAATCTGCTTTGTTGCTGCTCTGTATCACTGTTTTCTGTTTTTTATTTTCCTTTCTCTTTTTTTTCCTTCTTTTTTTTCCTCCTCCTTCCTCTTTTTGATGTGGGTTAGAAAGTAAAAATGGTCAGCGAACCATATGTTGATCACGTTGCTACTGTGACCAAACCTCATGTTGACAAAGTTCGAGTAGCATTAAATCCATATACAAAGGAGTTAGCGCATGCTTGTGGAAAGTTTTTGGAATCTGCGGCTACACATCATCGAATGGTACAAAATTTAAAAAAATGTACTTTTTCATTGTTGTAATTCTGGACTACTTAGTAAACATAGACTTCTTATTCACTGTGACATGATGCGATGTGGTATTCCTTTGGGCAATTTGATTTCAGTCAAGACTTCATCGATTCAGAAACCTGTGTGGATTTGAGTTTTTTTTTTTAGCAATTGTCAGGCCAAATGTTTTTAATTTTGAAGCAAAATAGCTTTGAGAGATTAGAGTCTTTTTCATTATTTAACATTTTGAGCAGTTCAGTTGGAATTAGGGGACTGGGGGTGCACATCCGTGTCGGTTTTGGGCTTAAACTGACAGATTGGTTTTTGTCAGTTGGAGCTTGGCTGTTTTGGAAGGCTCTACAACATCGACTGACATATGAACATCTAGAAATGTAGTAAGATCTGTAGGTATATATCTTCCGTCCATGCTTGTAGCCTTGTATTATGAATCCCTGAAATGTCACATACCCTGCAATGCGAGAAACTGAGAGGGTGTTTATCGTACTGCAAGAGACCAGATAAATTAAAATATCAGAAGGAATCAAACCTTGAAAATAATCTTTTCAATAGAAACTTCTCCAATTATATATAATGCACGATTTCTCTTCCAGAGATTCCTGGAGAGACAAGTAATTTGCCATCATCAGAGGACTTGAAAGAATTTGATTTTCTATTCTCAGCTAATCCGAATTACCTCAGAAACTCTGGCACCCCCTGCAATCTGTACAAAACAAGTCGCCAGTTGTTTCTTTCCCTATCAAAACTACTTTTGGTCCTGAATTGAAAAACATTACTTGAGAAAATTGAAATCTCATTTTTAAGCATGCATCAAGTGGAACACGTGAAGCTGTTATAGTAAATATATGAACATAAGGGTTAACGTTTGGATTACACATTTTCATTCTGGAAATATCATCCAGAATCTCATCTTTATTGATTAATACGTCAAATATTCTTAATAGTTTAGATTATGGACTTCAATGTCAGAATTAAATACACGGGTTCATGTTTTCTCTATTTTTATGAAATCTTTAGAGCAGGTTCTGATTTCTGAGATGATTATTGTTGGTGCTTGTGAGAACCGTAGAACTTTCTACTGAGATTAGTTTATTTTGACTTCAGAAATAGATAAAATACCTTTAGTAAGATCTGCTGCTCATTGTTAGTGAACTTGGGTCCATGAATGATACCACAAAACTATATTGACCTTGATAATCATGTTATTGGTAACATTTTTCATCTCCCACTGCTAATTATTTTCAGTAATTAGCATTTGATATTGTACAACTGTAATTAGAATTTGATGTTGTAAGCTATTAGAAGGAGCTCGCCAGGCAGGAATAATTATTCTCCTGGTACCCGGAACCAAACCAAGAAATCAGCCGGATAAAGTACTGCATGAAAATTTTAATATAGTCCTTTATACTTATATTATTCTCTTATGTTTGCTTCAGGTTAAATCCACCATTCAAGAAATGCTCAACAGTCATGACATTACAAGACCAATTGCTACTAAAGAGTTCGAGTGGTTTTTGGTTTGTATTATTCTTGAAAATATGACCTTGTATATAGACGTTTGGTGCACAGATTTTTTGTTGAAATCTTACCGTCTTTGAAATTTCACACCCCTTGTACTTTCGAATTTCTATTTTGATAATCTATTTTGGTCCTTGTCGTTAAATTTTTTGTAGTGCTATGTGACACTGGGGACATTAAGTCTTATTTCTCGAGTCTGCATTGAGTTTAGAAATCGGTTGCTTAAGATATACATTAAATACAAAAATTTTAATGGAAAGGACCAGCATCGTTAGAAAACAAATTTTTTAAAATATGACTTGTGAAAACTCAGGGATAAATTGGATTTAAAACCATATTTTACTTACTAAATTTGTTGATCTCTTGTTATTGACTCGATACAGGATTCTGCATTGTTGGCCTTGCCCATGATAATATTGTTCAATCTTTGCCGTTGCTGTGGCATTTCCCGGTTAGATTCACGATCTTCTCTCTTTTTCATTCTAAAGCGTCATATATGTACACATTTTCTTGAAAGAGGACACAGTTGAAGAAATAATATATCTTTGTGCAGTAAAAAAGCTAGGAGACCTGGCCGGAGTGCCAACCCCACCAACGCACGTCGTAGGGCCAAAAGAGGAACTTCTGTCAAGTAAAGTAACATCATTGCTGATCCTCTGTTGGGGACAAGTTTTTACAGGTCTGCTTTATCTTTAACAGTTATGTTTGAAATATATAAATGAACTGCTGTTACCATAGTTATGCTATTCTGTGTTGTGATACTGCAACTTCATTGTTGATTGGTTCTTAAGACCATCCTAATGGTGACATGGCATTTTCGCATAAGACGCGGTACTAGTCTTACTTTTCTTGCTTCAATTAGCCACCTGCCACCTGGCACTACTTGAATGCTACTCACCACAAATTGAATCTAACCAATCAGTCAATGACTCCAAAAGTTAAAGGATTTGATCCTTATTCTTGAACCTGCACTACTACCGTATGGTGCTTGGGACATAATTCAACTCACTTTCTTTTCATGCTTTTAAAGGGCTTTCAAATTTTCCTTGAATCCTATAAAATAGGATTTAAACCCATATCTTACTTTCCATGATCATTTTCTTTTCGCTTTGCGATTCTTAACCATCTTCATTTGAAAACACTAGATAACGGTTCTAAAATTTTTGCATTTTTGGGCATAGGAACTAGGAAGATGGTTTTTTTTGCATTTTTGGGCATAGGAACTAGGAAGATGGTTTTAGTCCTAAAAAGGGTTCCAATCTAAAAGAATAATGTTGCAATGTGATTTCTAATATGTTTTTTCGTTCAAATATCCTCTTGCTCTCCATCATCACATCGTTCTGTGGGTAACCGTTAACCGGTTGCCAATATTATGCATATTCAAGTATTTACTTGCTTACGTTAATCGTATTTCGATTTCCCGCAGGTGGACGGCACATCTTCTGCTTGCAAAATTCTCTAGAAATCTGGAACTGTAAGGACATTTTTTTTTGGAAGCTCTGGCAGTTTCATGACCTAGTCTTGGTTGTTAGATGTCCTGGATACTAATACCCCGGAAGTTTAGAAGTTGAAGTTATACTTCGTTTTCAATGTTTTGAATTTGTACCTTACTTTCTTCTTTGTAAATTATGAAAAATAAACCATTTTGAATTTTCATCTCTTGTTACTCGGCACTGTTCAAGTTCGCTTGCTGTTTTGATGAAAGTTCCAAAAGGAATAAAGTTTGATGTAAAGTCGAACCTATAATCGATTATAGATATAGTTAATCGAAAAAGAGGTGGACTGACTGCTTGCTTATACTATTAGATTCCAATTCCGGAGTTAAACAGTACATATTGACGAAGAAAGGTGACGGTTTCGTGAAGGAGAGGAGAACTATCTCTATGACTGCAGCAACTTCTTCAGTTTTTACTGAGAAATGTATGCGTATCCTTGGCATCTCTTAGAAGTTAGGCCAGTAATTCTCCAGGTCCATGCAGTGATCCACGTTCATAAATCTGTTGCTAGATCCATTGGGATTGTTGTTGATCTCTGTCCCATAGGCGGTCTCAGGAGCCATCGTACTTGCAATCATAGACGAAGCGATATCTTGTTGGCCAATAGTCGTTGCTGCCACCACTGGTGGTGGCATCGACCGCAAAACTGGCTGCGGTGCAGCTCCTCCGAGGTTCAAGTTCAACCCAGATATCGTGAAGCAACCTCCTGCAGGTGGGTAGTTAAACTGGGGCTGCATCGATAAGTTGATACCATGAGTAGTTGATCCTCCACTGCCACAGCCCCCACCACCGGCCCTCAGGACTCGGTTGAGCTCAGCGAGCTCTGCACCGGTGATGTAGTTTCTTCCGTAGCCATATTGAGCAGCAGGATCTCCCAGCTGCATGATTGGTGGTTGAAGAATAGGGGGGGCTATTTCAAAGTTGGCATAGGGATTCACTGCTCTTGATTGGTTTGGAGGATACTTCTTGGCTCCAGCACTCTTTTGAAATACGCGGCAAACCACCCATTCGTCCTGTTCAAATATGCAAACCAAAGGGAGCTATAAAAAGCGATCATATTGAACGAGTGATTAAATTTGTCATAATCGAACTTAAGTTTTTAGGTTCGGTGGTGGTTTAACATGATATCAGAACAAGAGGTTTTTGTGTTCGAATCCCTATAATATAATTTATTTTTCAGTTAATAGTGATAATCATTTGTTGGGCGTTGAGCAAAATTTTCAGCCCACGAGGGGAGTGTTAAACTATTGTAAATGATTAAATTTGTCGCAACCTATCCTTTTAAGCTTGTGGGTTCAATGGTGATTTAACAGATTAATTACATATATTAAAAACTATATATTAAACGAACTCCATTAGGGAGTGATTAACATTTTTATTCAACGAGGAGACATTAGATCTAATAATCAATATCTTCAACTTTAATGTTTGTGGAAAAAAAAATCTTTTTAATATTTAGGAGTGCTTTGACAAGAAAATTTATAAAATATTAAATCTTAGATAGGTGATCATTATGATTTGAACTCAATTCTCTCGAAATTCTTCAAGAATTTATGTTCGTCCCTTTAGTCATATAACTCATAATATTCATGTAGGGGGTTAGATGACAATATGATCGAAGCTTCAATAACTAGTAATTGTACACAATGATCTTTAAAACGCTATAATCTCACATAAAACGCATGTTTAATATGGCAGGAAATGTTACCTTGGCAGTTCGAAAGGCCGTTTTAGAGTGAAGTCGATATTCATGCATAACCCAATTAGTTTTTTCTCCTCTTGGGGCTCTTCCTTTGTAGAACACTAATGTCTTCTTCATACCAACCAACTCTGAAGTATTGCTATTGAAAATTTCTTTGTCTTTTCCAGTGGTTTTCCAATACCCTGTGTTTGTCGCTCTATTTGTTCTCACTCCAGTAGGGTATTTTCTGTCTCTTAGGCTGAAGAAATACCACTCTTTTTCTCCCATTTTTGCCTTCCCTGTTTCAAACAAAAACACCGAACCGAACTCAACTTGTTGTCAATAACACCCCAAAATCATGGGTTAGAAATTACTACGCTCACTAGTACGACGCAGTATAAGTTTAATATGTATTCTAAAAAAAGTCACAACTTTTTATTTTCCTTTCAAATATAGTATGAGTATGATTTTTCTTTAGTGTATTTTATTACTATATTTGAGTTTGAGTTCGTAAAATTTCAAATTTTATACTATATTTGAAAATACATATGCTTTTTTTTTTTTTGGTGTAAATGCCTCAATAGAAATTAAAAAAAAAAAACTTTAAAACATAGCTTCCTAACAAAAACCCTAATCTACTTTCCAAGAGTAAATAAGCTCAAGCAAAATATATAGGCAATAACCATACCCTATAAAATTAGGGTATGATAGTTCAAAAGTTGTTTTTTTACGATAAACAAATAATCACGAGCATATTAACTCGAATATTATGCACAATAATGCCAACATTTACAAGTCATTCGATCAAAATTCTTAAAAACGCAGGTGTTACGAAACAGTTTCACGAACAAACCCTAATTAATCCCGAACCCACCTGGAAGTTCCCAAGGTTCAAATTTGTTGAGATCAACATCAGTAATGGCCCTTCCAGTAAAGTTAGCATCTGAAATCTTATTCAAGAGATAAAAAGTGATCAACTCTTCATCAGAAGGATGAAACCTAAACCCTGGAGGCAATAATGTTTGATCTTCTGCCATATTGTTCTTCTTCTCCACCTCCCTCTTCTTCCCTTCCTCCTTCTCTGTCGTCCCCGTCTCGGTCGTTGGATTGCTACCGCTCGAAACCTAGAGAAAAACAAAGAAAGAAACACAACAGCATCAAAACATGGCAACTTCTCCAAAACCAAAAGCCTAATGAAGTTTCTCACTTTAAGAGAGAGAGAGAGAGAGAGAGAGAGAGAGAGAGAGCTAACTTGCATGGAGAGAAGATTCAAGTTTATTCAGATTCTTGTTTTTTTTGGTGGGTAAGTGTTGCAAGAAATCTATGGGGGTTTTAACATTGTAATAATTTAGAAAGAAGACAAATAATGGAGTGTGTTTGTCAAGATTTCACCTAATATTGGCCTTCAAATTTACATTTACACTCACATATAATTTGTTTATAATACTTTGTCCAAGTCTTTCTTTGGGTTTCTTTTTTTTTTTTTAATTTTTTAATTTTCAGCCGCCTTCTCAGAAATGGGAGAAACCCTTTTGTTAAGACCAGAGATTATGAACACTCTCTCTCTCTCTGTTGAAGTAGTTGGGAGTAGTGTATATGAGGGTTAATCACTGATTTTTATTTTTTTTCCTTTTGGAATATAATATTAAGATAGTGAATTATTAATATAATATATATATATATATATATATATATATATATTTCAAGTGTAATAATGTGGGGTGGAGATTCGAACTCTCAACTTTAGGATTGGATATATATGCGTAACCTACCGATATAATTTTTATTGCTTTCTAATTTTTACACCCTTTTATGAATATATTATATACAGGGACATTTTTATCTTTTGTTATAGTTGATGATGGTGAGTCATTTAGGGTGTATTTTGGGATGCTATGATCTAAAGCCTAACCATTAGGTTTGTTTCACAAATTAGATACGTTTTGGATGAAAGTTTTCTTAAACCTTTTGCAATTTCATGTCTCTTTAAATTACATTTCAATAACATTCAAGTGGGATTGATCAATCTTATCTTATCTTGTGGAGCGTTCGACTCTTGAGCCAAATAAATATTGTTGTTTGTTTCAAGAGTTTTGATCTCAAGATAATTCGTATCTAACCTAAGCCTTAGTTTGAAATTGAGTCGATGGAGGGTTTTAGTGTTTGGTGAATTAGAGATTCATATGCCCTATAAATTCCTAATTTCAATTCGCTAGCTAGGATACCCATTTTCCATCCTTCTTAATGAATAGGCAAATTATTTTTTAGAACAAATATGTCGTCCCTATTCTTAACCAGATTTGTCCTGAGACACTCTCCTAAACTAAAAAAAAAAAAAAAAACTATTTAATCCTCTATCGAAATTAATTAAAAAGCAAGAGGCGTCGGGGATACCAATCAAAACCCTCCAGGCTTCAAACTATATTAACGTGATTGAATGGTTATTATTATTATTATTATTATTATGATAATTTAATTGAATGGACACGTATATATGAAACAGTCAAATGAATCAAAAGAAATTAGTAAAACAGCATAAGTCAGAAATATTAGGGTTTCTAAAATGAGCTATAGAGGCAGATACCACTTGGAATTCTTCAAGAGAGAGAGGTTGAATTCATGAACTAAATATATGAAAAATTATAATATAAATTTAAGTTTTATGTTTGTCAAGAATGGGATTCGAACCCATGCCCTTTCGGACCAGTACCTGAAACTGGCGCCTTAGACCAACTCGGCCATCTTGACATTTGTAAATGCATGTTAATATATTCTTAAACATCAGAAAATCAGCTTAAATACATATTAATATTAATGAGTTCCATCTCAAAACTAATAGTCATATATATTATAAATATCTCTTATCTTTTGATCCTTTAATAAAAGAGATCCTGAACTTTTAGTTTTGTATATAATAGATATCTAAACTTTAAATGTATTTGTAATAGATCTTTTGACTTATTTGATATTTTTTTAAAACTCATGGATTTATCGGATACGAAATTAGGGTCTTATATTCAACACAAATTTTAATTTTATGTCTAATGGATCCATTAATTTTAAAAATTTATTAATATGTCATAGACTTATTAGACGTTAAATCGAAGGTTATATACTTATTAGATATTTTTAAATATAGAGATCTATTATATATAAAATTAAGTTTAATTAGGGATTTCTACTAAATACTCTATAAAGTTTAGAGACATATTAGACATAATAATTCAACCAAAATTAAATTAATTAATCTTCTCCAATAATTTATTAGTATAAAAATAAGGATCATTATTTTCTTTGAATTTCTATGTGTGTACTTTTTCTTTTATAAAATTTTGCAAAGTTAAAAGGAACAAAATGGTCTTTAGTGTGGCTTTCTTCTCAACACAGAAGAAATCTTTATTGTTAACAGCTTAGGGTTTTTCATGGGTGTGAATATTTAATTAAAGTACTCAACAAGCTAGCAAATAATTACAAAAATAGCCACAAAAAAGACCCTTATAGTATTATGGTGTGTGTTTGGGGTAGTTTTTTTTTTTTTTAAATACAAAAAGTGTTATGATTAATTAATAGAAAATATTGTTATAAATTCTCTCATAATATATATATATATATATATATATATATATATATATATACTTCTTTATATATACACCCCTTTACTTCATAGATACAAGCAGGCCTATAAATCATCTTGGGACGACATCAAAACGTACGGCATCTTCTTCTTGGTCCAAAATATCTCGTTTTTTTTTTAATAATTATGATATCTCTACTATTTCTCTTAATTATATTGGAGAGCTTTTTTTTAGCTTCCTCTTATTTTGATGTATATTTCTCACATATCTTGCTCAATGAAATGGTACATCTTTTCAGAAAAAAAAAAAAGAAAAAGATATTGCAGCCTATATTTTTAGTCTCGCTATTCACATTGATTTTATTTTGAATTTTATTTAAAAACGCTTGATCAGTCACACTAATAAATAGTTGTTGTCTACATTTATAAATTGATACATTTTCTCACTTCTAATTGATATGCGATAAAATTTAACGTTACATTACACTTTTGACAAATCAAATGTCGTTTACCGATGACTTGTGTCGATCAATTTCTTGTATATCCAAACATGACTTTGTCTGAAAAAGTTCAACAACAATTGTGAGCTGTTGCATATTAATTAGATTTAGGTTTCTTTAACAGAAAATAAGGTTAATTTTTCATCCCCTACTTGTTCTACACTTCAAGACTACAGAATTATTTTGTTAAAAAATTTTATAAATTAGAGTTCAATTATTTGAGCTTGAAATACATATAATATACTCTAAATCATATCATCAAAATTTTAAGATAATTTATCTGTTAATATTACAAATTTACAAGTCGATCACACATAACCCTCATAATAATACAAATACAATGTTTGACAATGATCATTTCTATGTTGTTAGCAACTAAAACAATAAATTAAGGTTTTCTTGTTTCTTTGTATAAATACCTAACTCCAAAAATTTCTACCGATTCAATAACTTGATAAACACGTCGCAAAGATACGTCTTTGATTCGCTATATCCTTGACCGTTTAATTTATATTTTAGAAAATAATGGATCAAGGCTTACAACAACGTTATCGACAACTCATTGTTGGTGTAGTTGAAATGTGTTTGTCAAGAAAGACGACAACTCGATCTCTAGAAGCAACGTCGAAGAAGAAGGCGAAGAACTAACCCTAAAAAGACAGACCAGTTCTTCATTTAGGGTTTGGTATATTTATACTTGTCAAACACTTCAAGATAAAAATTGAAGCTTTTCAGAATTAATCTCTTTAGTTGTTGGAAATGATCATACTACTGAATATTTTCGATAATGCTTATTAAATAATTTCAGATAACTAAGTACTGTCACTAAAAAGGAAGCACAAAGCAAATGGTCTAGAGATTATTTTCACTTAATTATGTGGAAATTTGGATAAATAAAAGTTTTGTTATTATTCCTCCATGAATAAACTCAAGAAATATAGCTCGCACATTTTACTTTGATTTAGTGATCACATCCACCGTTTTGTTAAGAATCTCATGTTGAAAAGAAAAATGACATAATTAACCACGGATTATAACAGATATGGACTACTTCTTCCATTGTTAATTAGTTTTGAGACCGAATCCATGAATATTAATACTTTTAACTATGAATTGATCTAAAACAAATAACGGGAAATTCTTCAAATTTCGTACATGATGTTAATATTTGACTAATACTTAATTTAAAAAAATATATATCAATTTCATTGTAATTGGCATAATCAACACAATTGAAATTGACTCATTCAACTAAATACAAGATTGAAAATTGAATTTAAAGTCATATGTTTAAATTATATATATTATTGTCCTCATGGTTTTATTTCATGCTGCACTTAGTCTCTCAACTTTTCAAATTAAATTTAGAAGGAAAAAGAAAATATATATATATATATATATATATATATTATTAGTCGTTAAATTTTATTTTTAGGTAGATACTTTACTTCCCAACTTTTCAAATGGTACTATTTCGTGCATGCTGCGCTTGGTTTGTTAATTATGATTTGATAATTTAACAAGAACCTAAATCCATATTAGAAAACCAAAACAACTAATCTTATTCCATATGGCTTCAAAACATTTTTCTGTATAAATTATATTGATCAACTAAATGAAAAATATATATACTTTATAAGAATTATTAAAAGAATTGGTTACAAAGACTAAAATAAATACTCTTTTAGTACTCGTATACTTTTGGCTTTAGTCAATTTTGGACCATATACTTTTATAACACTTATTTTATTTTTCTAATTTTAACTTTGATTCATTTTAGTTCATATACTTTTAAAAACATTTATGAGTTTAGTTCCTATATTTTTAAAAGGTGACGGTCATTTTGATCCCTATTTGCAAAATCTTAACAAAAACTTTATAAACCATTTAAATACAAATGTATGACTATATTCCAAGAATTTTATTGAATTATGTGTAATGCTAAAAAAATTATCGAAATAGATGAGATAAAAATGAAAATGAATGAAAAAAATAGTCTTTTTTTTTTTTAAATAGAGATCAAAATGAACATTTCAAAAGTAGAAAGATTAAAATGAACCGAAGTTAAAGTATAGGGAGACCAAAATGAATGTTTGGAAAATACAAGTACTAAAATCGAAAATATAGCAACTAAAAGAGTATATAAACCTAATTTTTCTTTTTGCAAAAATTTACCGATACTCAAATTAAACTGTACGAAAGTCTAATTGATCAAAATAAAATAAATATAAAATTTTGGGAACAAAACAGAATTAAACCTAAACAAACTAATATTGATCTTGGAGGTTCTCATAAAGGAAAATTATTGGCAAACAAATGATTGAGGGTCAATCTAGAATTTATCATCCACAAGTTTTAAAAAAGTAGATAAGCAAACCTTGAAATTGGTAAGTGGGGAAATCAATGTTAATGAAGATTAGTAAATTTTAGTACCAAGACTTGTCACAAGGGTTTATATGCAAATATATATAGTTTCTTTTCTCCCGAGCTAATTTAATTTTTTTAATGAAAACTAAATTAATTTTCAAATAATATGTCTATTGTGTACTACAAAAACTAATCAAAAAATACCAAAACAAAACGTTATGACCAAATTATATATAGTTTCCTTTTTCAATATTTTAGAGACTGAATGTGGGCTCTATTTGTTAAGCCCAATAGGCCCAATATACGGTCCAGTAAGTAGGTTATCTTGCGTCTGAATCGGGCTCAAGCCCACCTTTAACCGTCTTTGAGAACCAGAAGAACCCAGATCTCGTTAAAAACCGCAACTTCTGGTGGCGGCGGACGCCCATTACTCCGGCAGGCTTCAGCATTTAGCGATTCCAATTCGGTAAGCTCTTCCGGTGTTCTGGTTTTGTTCTTCATTTGAAATTCCTTTTCTGTCGACTTTGAAATTTTGTTCCCTTTTCTTTGATGCGTAGTTAGTAGAGAGGGTCACAATCGCTTGGCTGAGCTCGTTAATTTCTGTTTAATTAGTTTCCTTTTTGTCAATTGGGAATGTTTTATGTTTTCTGATTATAGTGTTGCTGTTTTCAATTCGTTCCTGCTCTTGTTTATTTGAGAAATTCGTTGCTTGTTAATATGTAGACCAGGTGTTTGAAATAATGCCTTGATTTTTTTTCCCCCTCTCCGTTCTGTTTCGTCTAATAATTTGTCTTTGTTTTTCTTTTATACCCCCTGCATAGCATACTTTATCAAGCATTTTACTTCTTTAGATAAGTTTAGGTATTGGATTTTCTTGATGTGCTTTACCAAATCATAGTCCCTTGATCTTCATTTCTCTAAAAGATGCAAGACGCTGAGTCTTGCATAAACCTTCTCCTGATATTTGTTATTCTATGGAAATATTATTGTTTGAAATCCGTTGCAATATACGGCCTAATGTGAGACTGGATAATTCTATTTGGCAGTGTGCCAAAATACTAGCAAGTAGTTAAGTATAGCTGTTTATAGCATTCTTATGTTATTATCTACCATCTCTAAGGGAAACAAACTTTGGTCTAATCGCCGTTACATATTGGTCTAATCGCGTTTTGACCTGAAAATGGTTACAGCATAAAGGTTCTTATAGTCCTGATAAAAGTTTTTTTTTTCCTTTTCCTTCTGGCCATAAGAAAGGATTTTGGTTGTTTGCCTAATGTTGGGGTGAGGCCACCTCCTAATGAAATGGTTTGATCAATATATATGATATTTACATTGCTAGTTTGTCAGGCCTATATGGAGTCCATTCCTGGAGGTCTTCAGGATTTCCTTGGCTTTCAACAGGGACTACAGGGCAATGGTGGAGGAAATTTGTTGGGATAGAGGAAGGTTGTTGTGGTCAAGTTATTTTATGGGGTGTTTAGCCATGGGATTTAGTGTGGGAAATTGTTAGGTTTAACTCCTCCTTGTGGGTGTCGGTTTTGAAGGATTTCTGTAATTATCAGTTAGGTGTTATTATTTTGGATTGGGGCCCTTCTTATAGGGCGGTTTGCTTTTGTTGGGCACTTGGGCTCATGATTTTTTGTATGCTCTTTGGATATTCTTTCGTTTTCTCTCAAACCTTGGTTTCTTATCAATATATATATATATA